GTATCTTTGGCTATGTGTATTTTCACCAAAAAAAAAAGGTTGAGAAGTTAGAGGGTTGATATGTTGTGGGGTTGTTAACCAGTGTCATAAAACAGCATGTGTACTACTGTTTCATGAGAAACTATTTGTTCTGTAAGCCTAAAAAAAAAAAAAAAATTAAAGAGCTGCATGAGTGAAGGAGTTAAAGGTGACCTTGAGATTCTGACCTCAATGTCAGCTCAGAACACTGACCTTTAAAAATGGGAAATCTGGTATTGACTGGAGGGAAATGATTGTTCTATCTTAAGATATCTTGAGCCTCTAAATGTCTAGCCTTGATCTTCTTAAACTTTCCATCTGTAGCAAGTTTTGGGTTATCACCAAAAGATATTATTTACCTGTTCTTATTAAAGATTTTTAAGAGAAAAGTCAGTATTACACCACCATGGTCAGGTTGGGTATGTCAAGTTTAGTTTGAAGATATTCACTATAACTTTTAAATGAAATTTTTATGGCATTTTAAATTACAAACTCATATTTTTTTGTAAAAATTAAAACAATACAGATGTGTACAAAGAGCAAAATTAAATGCTTTCCCTACTCTTTTTCTAACCACATTTCCCAAAGGTAACCACTGTTAATGTTATGTATTTTTTTTCAGATATTTTTCTATGGCTATTGAGCTAACGTAAGATCAGACTGCCAATTAGATGCACACGAATCAGAAATATTACCTAGTATCAAGCTTTACTAATTATTTTAAGGATACAGGCAATCAAGAGGCTCAAGTGAAGCAAAGAGATGTCTGGTACATCAAAGATGTCTCCCCAGATCGTGGTTTCCCACACTGGCCATGCATCTCTGGCCTAGAATAATGAGGTTTTAAAGTGACGTTTGTGAGAGTGTTAAAACAGCAGGAACGTTTCAAGTATGGAACATCTCCATTTTATACCCCCAGAGAGTTGTATTGCTTCTGTGACATTCTTCAGAAATGTACGCCTCATAGATTCTGGGTCTGTTTGTTACAGGTTATCCTTCCTCCACCCATCTGTCAGTTTGTCACACGGTGGTGGCTTTTGTGTTGCTATGATACTGGAAGCCCTGCCACTGATATTTGAAATCCCAGCAGGGTCACCCATGGTGGACAGGTTTCAGCAGTACTTCTAGACTAAGACAAACTAGGAAGAAAGGCCTGCGATTTACTTCTCAAAAATACCCAATAAAAACTCTATGGATCACAACAGAATATTGTCCAGTATAGTGCTGGAAGATGAGCCCCTGGGTTGGAAAGCACTCAAAATACACAGTGGTTGCAACAATGAACTTGAGCACACTAGTGATCAAGAAGATGGCACAGGATTGAGCAACATCTCCTTCTGTTGTACACAGGATCGCCATGAGTCAGAGCCAGCCCATGGCAGCTAACAACTATCCTTAGCCAGAGATATCTTGCTAAGGGCATTTCAAAGATATGATCTCTTCTTCCTAGCAAATATCATTAGGCTGTTTACCCAGAAGTCCGGAGGTCACCGGCCTGGGGCTCCTGCCCTCCCAGGAAGAGAGTGAATGGATTATCGGCCAGCTGTTTTAACTCCCTCCTTACAGTGAATTCAAATGTGTATACTTTGGTTTTGTATGTATTAAAATTGGATTTTATGATTGATATAGATCAGTAGATGGATAAATATAGTTCTACATCTCCCCCCCTTTAATATAGGCATTTCTCCATTACAGTACATGTGGTTCCAACTCATTCATTTAAATGGCTGCATTGAAAGTAAAATTTGATGTCACGTGGTTGGCATCCTATTTATAAACAGGTAAACTTTCATAAAATAAACTTCAGCTGTTAGGAACTTAAGATAGAAGTGTAGGCCTCAAATGTAAATGTGGTAATTTTGGCATAGATTATTATGGTGAAGAACACTTTTTAGTAAAATTTCTGGAAGTTAATATTTAAATATGACTGGAGCTTTCAGGGGCTTAAGTCTTGTTTAGAAAAATGGGTGTGGTCGTTTTTGTGCCCGCCGTGGAGGCTGGTGGTCCACCACGGGTAGAGATGGTTTGTGGTTCCTCCATGTGATTCTCAGATAACATTGGTGGTGTAGCTAGAATCAGGTGACTGTTTTTTTTTTTTGGGGGGGGGATAGAAAAAGATATTTTTTACATGTATGACAATGTGTCAACATTCTCTTTAATTGTGTTCCGTAGTACTCTAGTTTCTCTGCCACCTTATCTAATCATCTTTGCTTTTTTTGTTGTACTTTAGATGAAGGTTTACAGAACAAACTAGCTCCTCTTTAAACAACTAATACACATTGTTTTGTGACATTGGTTGCCAACCCTATGACATGTCAACACTCTCCCCTTCTCAACCTTAGGTTCTCCATTACCAGCTTTCCTGCCCCTTCCTGCATTCTCATCCTTGCCCCTGGGCTGTTGTGCCCCTTTAGTCTCTTTTTGTTTTATGGACCCGTCTAATCTTTGGCTGAAGGGCGAACCTCAGGAGTGACTTCATTATTACTGGGCTAAAAGGCTGTCCAGGGTGCATACTCTCAGCGTTTCTCCAGTCTCTGTCAGACCAGTAAGTCTGGTCTTTTTTTTT